AAGACAGCGCTCTTGAAATTGTAGATGCTCCGTAAGTGTTTGGTTTGATTTGAAGGCTTTGCTCTGCCCTCAATATATTGGGACTTCAGTGTGTATGAGAAAGTAACCATTCTGGGCACTATGTGATGAGGTGCCAGGTAAGTGGCTTAGGAGTTTAGCAGAGGACGGCCTGGGGCCGGTGGGGCTGGAAGAGCCATCTGGATGTTTGGATGGGGAGAGCAAACCAGGCAAAGGCACTGAACCTGACCCATCGGATAAGCAGGAGTGGGTGTTAAAGCGTGTTAAGGACAGCGGAGCCAGACCCCCAGGACTCTGCCAGCCAGGGTTTTGGAGTATTATAATTAAGGCTAAGTAACCATGCATCCAGAAAGGATCCAAAAGCCCCTTAAGGTCTTTGGCCTTAAAAACAGTTCTTTAAAAGATTGTAATCCAGAACTTTGCAAGTTGTGCTGTGTGGTTTGAAAATCTAAGAATCTTAAGAAAATCGGAAATCTCTGCGACTTTGCTCTTGACAGTAAATTAACAAGTATCATGTTTCTGCTATTGCAGTCACCATATTTGACCCCGGATGCACAAAGAATATTGGTCACCATAATCTCTGCCCCAAAGTAAAGACAGAGACAGGACTTTCTTAAATTTGTATTAATCATCATTAACCCCTACAGTCTGAGCAGCAGAAGGTCTGCGTCTCTGTGCAGGTCACTCCTGCTCTGTGTCCCTCAGCTGTGAAGTGCTAGGGTGGCAGCTTCTCTCCTCTTCCTGTGTTTATCAGCACAGCACACAGGCTGGCTGGAAGGGCAGTCCACACCAGATCCAGGTCCTGAAGCGTCCTGGAGGCGACAGCTCTTCAGTGGCCTGTCGCCAGCCTTCGCGGACAGGCTTCAGCTGCCACCTTGAGAAGCCCAGGAATTACAGGAGGAGGCAGCTGCAAGCAGTGCTTACACAGGTCACGCTTTTACACAAACTAAGCTTTAAAAAAAAAAAAAAAAAGTCTAGCTGAGTGCCTTTCCAGTATCTTCCTGAGTGTCACCTTTGCCATGAAAAGTTTATTTAAAGCTTCCCTGTAACATCCCACGTTCTCCATAAGTACTTACTTGCCCCTTAGAAAGCCTGTGAGCTGCCCTTCCTAGAAACGTGATTTTCCTTCAGGGAGGCTCCTCAGCTGTGTACAAATTTGGCCAGAATTTCCATACCTGTTTTCTTTCCCCTCGTAAACTATTCAGCTTCTAAAATGGCAAGTTGACAGCATTTGCTAAAATGGATTTTTATAGAGCTGCACCTCCTAATTCCCCTTCTTGGGCTGTCTTGGAGGATGGCTCTGTTGGGCCAGCCTTGCAGGCAGAAGGCTGCATTTTAATCAGCAAGGCCCCTGCAGTCCCTGAACCCCAGGTTGGTTTTCATGCACTTCCCTAAGTCCTTGTTATCGCCCGTTCCAACCCAGAAGATTTTGAAAAATTAACCAAATTAAGATGGTGGCAGGCAGGCATTTCTTTTCCCTCTACTCGGGTAGAAACATTCATACTCTGAAACCCACACCTGTTCTCTGAACACATGAAGTTTCCCTGTCAGATCAAGTGAATATCAATTCATTTCCTTTTCTATCCTAAACGTTCCATATTTAGTTCCCAGTTTGCCCCAGGGGTTGCAAGTTTGGCTTAAATTACATTTAAAGAGTGAGGAAAGTGATATTTCACTTTAATGTTGAGTTTCAAGCAGACTTTCCTCCAAAGATCTTTCCGTTTTAGCTAGGAAAGCCGTGGATAACCTGTATGGATTTGCAGATAGGAGAGTTTCATCCCTGTGGCTCTTTTTCCTTCCCTGTCATATTTGGTATTGGGGGTCTTATTCCTTTCCTCTCTGCCAGGAAGATGAAAACACTGCTGAGAAATCCAGATTTGTCACAGTGGAGTTGAGCTGTGGGAGGACAGCAGCAGGAACATTTATGTTTTATTCCCAGTTTAAAGTTGATGGGGGTTGTTACGTTTTGTGTACAGTTTCTTGGAGGTGCTGCCCTTTCTTAGAACATCATGTGAGTTAGTGGTGATAATTTGGTTTCCCCATTTCATTTTCCCTGCATCAACAGCCTGATTTCAAACTTAAGTGTTAGGCAGGGAGAGAGAGGGAAGAGATTTTTCTCCGTGTTAGTGAAAGTCGCTGATGGGACGGGACGGTGTTCGCCTATTTATTGTTAGTTGGCCCATTGCCTAGTAACTGTGACGTGATAGCTGTAATTCCCATCAGCTGTAGGCTTCTTTTTCCTTCCAAAAATTTTGCTTAATCTGATGTGTTTTTAGACCCATAAGGGCATCAACATACACACGTAAACTTCACAGTTAACTAAAGCTTCTTACTTGAAAGAATGTCAGAGTGGTGAGAGCACCAGTCAGAAGCAGGGAACTTGTATCCCAACAAAGTATCATTAAATCCCATTAATGTGCTCCCTCCATTTTTTCAGTCCTTGATGGAGTCAGATAAACATGTGCAAACACTGAGCCATCAAAGAGAGGTTAAAAATCTAAGGCAGGTGAGGGGCCGCTGTCCTTGTGACGATTTTTGATCGTAAGGTCTTCCTAGTGAATGGTGAATCTGGTGTTCCTCTTAGAAGAGTGATTGCATTTCCTTTCTGTTTTCACAATATTTTACAAACAAACTGTTTGCCTTCTATCACAGAGAAACAAGTTGCCTTTCTGTCCTGTGGAGCGGGGGTTTCTCTGTTAATAACAGTTTGTCCTCTGTGACAAATTTAAACTTCTAAACCTGGGCCAGGCGTCTCCCAGTTGAACCGCCAGGCACAGGCCGTTTCCTGTGAGGCCTCGGGGGAGCTCCAGGATGTAGTGCCACAAGGGGCCCCAAGCCCATTCTGCAAAGAAGGAAAGAGTGACGATCAGTGCATTCCCTTCTTAATGATGAAGTTCCCTGAAGGTTCTGGACCTTTGGGTGAGACTGTGATGGTTGTTGCTCTAGACTGCCCACTCTGGCCTCCTGCCCCTGGTTTCAGGGCCGATGCCCTATTCTGCTTAGAACGATGCCACGTTGGGGGTTGTAGGTGCCCTCTGCCTTCTTCCCTCCTGTGCTGACCCGGCGCCAGCATTAGAGCAAGCTGCGTGCCCTGCCTTTGTACTTGGAGAATGAAGTGTGTCACCTTCCCAGCATGCACTGCTTTCTGTGGCTGAATAATTAACACCAGAGGGAACCGGGGGATGGGGTCTGGATTAGGTAATACTTTACACCTTCTCTCTTGGCACTTACAGTTAAGTCAGGATCGGGACTTGGGGACCATAGTCACCTGATGACTAATTGCCTGGTGATCTTAGGTTGTGGTTTATTAAGTGTTACTGTGAAGGAAAGAACCAAATCCCCTCCCAAAGAACCATGTCTACACCCCTGTTTCTTCATGGCTCAGGGGTCCCAGGTAGAGTAGCTAGAATAGCACTGGCTCTGGCAGGTCAAATACCTCACAGATACTGAGATCTGATATCGTTCTATTACCTTTTCTCCATCTGAAATCAACAAGCCATTATTTTATAGTCTAGGCCAATATTGTGTAGTATCATTACAAAGCAAAGAATACCTTCAAAAAACGCCATCAGCCAGGGAAACGAAATACTTGGGGAAGGGGTGGGAAGAAGGGGCCTTTTCCTGTTTTACTGTCTCTACCTCTAATAAAACAACCGAAGTTCTTCTGTTTGGAGCTATAGCAAGAGTAATTATGACCGTAGGTATGTAATATTACGAGTACCAAGTCCTGCTGTCTTTCTGAATATTGGTGGTGAGAGGTAAGATTGCCAAACAGTCCAGCCACAGAACAGAATTGTACACTTGGGGAACCTCCAGGTGAATTTAAGATACTGTCTTTTTTAAAGGAGAGAGAAGCAGATGCACATAACGTGTGAGTGTGTGAGTGTGTGAGAGAGAGAACTTATTGATGCATTTTTCATTACTTGTTCACCTTATCTGGTGAGAAGATCCTGAGGTTGCTTCCCTACCACTTTTCCATTTCTTGGCCTAGAGCCATTTTTTTCCTACCATGACAGCTGACACTGTCTCCATAAACAAAAGGTCTTGAGGCCTGTCATGTCAGTTCCTTTAGCTACATCTCTATGACTATGTGTGTGTGTATATATATATATATTTAATTCTCTAACTTTTCCGGGCTCAGTGGTCGCAAGAAATCTGATAAGAGTTGTGTAAATTCAGATGCTTTGAGAGGATTTACCGTTTGAAGGTGGCTGAGTGCATAATAATAATACCAACAATAATAGTGTTGTTAATTTTTAAAGGGCTGTTTTGTGGGAGGTTTTTTGGGCCATATGTATGCGTGATATAATTGTTTTTCCTCTGCAGATTTTTAATATAAAAAGCAAATTCCTAGGACACCCCACTTAGAGATTACTTCTCCTTTTATAGTGAGGGAAGTCAAGATTACCCCAACCCAGCAGTGCAGACCGATGAAGCCTTTGTGGAGAGTGGCCATTTCCACTCCCCTGATGTTGGGATATCAATGGGAAGGGTGGTAAGCAAGGTCACTTAGTCCTCATAGCTGGGGGAGGGGGAACCAGAAGAGCATAGCTGGTCTGCTTGGGGTGACCAGCTCCCCTGGTTTTAGCATGTAAGTCTCGTGTCCCAGGAAGCCCCTCAATCCAAAAATCTAGAGTAAAACCCCATCTGCACCCCAGGCCTCCCTAACTTGGAAGGGCCCGCTGAGGCACCCCGATTTGCCTCACTTTGTTAACTTCCACAAGCGAATGGCCCCGTTTCCTCGAGGCTTTTTAACGTGAGGGCGTTTTGTTATCAAGCACGGAAATAAGGTAAGTGATCTCCGGGCTTTGTCCTTAGGTTTTCAGCCCTTTGAAGCTAGTGCAGCAGAACAGCTTGACTTGCAGCACCCCTGGCCCAGAGGCAGGTGAGGGACCGGAGGCTGAGGAGACGTGACCTGGAGGACCCACTGCTGCTGTTTGAATGTCCTTAACCGTCTCTGGTTTTCTTCTCTCCTCCTTTAGACCCTCAAACTGACACAAGACCTACAGAGGAAACCCTTTGCCAAATCTGCTCTCAGCAAGTGGACAGTGATACCGTTTACAGCTTAACACCTTTGTGAGCCCCTGCCGTTTCCTACCCCAGCAGAGACTGTTATCGGCCCCTTACCCCGGGTGAAGCACTTACCCTCGCACAGAACTCTCTCTATAAAGTATGCAAAACCTTCCTTGTACGGGGTGACAGCCACCTGCCAGCGAAGGACAGCACCCTGCCAGCACCACCCACCCTGTTCAGAGCACACCGTGAGCCCGCGGGCCATTCTCTGGTGTTTTAATATCGTGATGGTTTATGGGATGTTTTAAGTGTTGTTTTTGTTTTCCTTTGACTTTGAGTTTTTCACATGCATTAACTTGCAGTCTTTTTATGTTAAAATATTAATCATGCTTCCCCTGGCAAATTTAAACACAGAAGGAAAATGTTGTACCAGCTGCTATGCTGGCTTTGGGTGTCACAAGCATTCGAGCCCGTAGAACTCCCCAAACTAACACATTACGTAAACTAGAGGGGGGGTTTCTTTCTTCTTTCGTTTGGTAGAAGACTATCCTTTTCTAAAAACTGAACAGTGGCACAAGTGTTTTCTGTGTGCACCGGTCCAGGACAGAGCCCTGCATCGGCAAACCTGACTCAGAACCAAACCACGTGCTTGGCTCTGAGTCAGGGTGGTTGGGGGATGAGACCCCGGCACCTGGTCTGCAGTTGCCAGATCAGTAGGGCCTGTGGTCTCCTGTCAGTATCCTCAGCTAACACAGTCAACAGTGATGGTATGTTGGTTAGAAGTTAGAATTTTTCAAGGAAGAAATCAGCTCAGCTGTCCGCTCATTGCCAAATGCCACTAACAGGTTTAGTTTTAAGGAGAAAAGAAAAAAAAAGTAGTCGTGTTTTTCTTTGCAGAAGAAGTGAACTTACAGGTGAACATTAAGCCCGCAGTGAGAAATGTGTGGAAAGTACAAACCCGAGTCACTATTTTTCTAAATGTGCACCCTTGATGATTTTCAGTCTTGCTCTGTATAATCTGATCTAGTAGACGTGTATGAGTGACAAGCAATAGCATACAAACTGATTTCTTTTTAATATAAATAAGCTTAGATTGTAATTGTACAAGTGTCACAATGGAAGTACAAGATAGGGCAGTTTTGACCTCCCCCCACACACTTTTCCTGCTTCTATGGATTTCATTTTTTTCTTTCCAAAAAGTTATGGTGCTGTATAGGTGCTTTCTGTTTAACCTGAGAAGTGTGAGTATATTAGTTACCCTCTTTGGTAGGCAGAATAGTTGGGAACACCTTTGGTACATATGAAACTGGTGTAATGATGCTCTGATTAGCACAGCATATGCATACTTCTCCAAAGTGATATATGAAGACTCTTTTCGTTGCATAAAAAGCATTAGGCATAGAAATGTATAAATATATTTTATCACGTACAGTACAAAAATGGAACAGTCTGCATGGATGTTAGGGATACAGGCTAGTATTTCAGCACAGACCTCCCTGCATGAGTTCTCGCTGATGCTTGCACCGTGCAGTGGGCACTGATTCCCTTCCACCAACACAGACGTGCCACCCGACCCCCTGCACCCATCACCAGCCACCAGGGGCCCCTTTGTGCACCTTTGCTTCCTGATTCCTCTGGGGTTGATATTGGTGGTGATAACAGCTCCTAGCATAATGAACGTTCCATTTGGTGTTGCCACTTGTCTCTCCCGCCTCGCTTGGGCTGTCATGTTTGAGCGATGGCCCTGTTGATTTCACCCTGCCCCCTACTGAATCTGTAAATTGTTGTGCAATTTGTGGTTATAGTAGACCTGTAGCATATCACCTTTTCTAAACTGCTACAAGTTTATAATCTTCATTTTGAAAGTACGTATAATTTTTAAAAATATGTATTCTATTCACGTGGTCTGCTTGTCAGTGAGACAGACTTTTGCTTACTGTATTCTTTTGTAATAAAGCTAGCCACTTCCTTGATTTCTTTGGTAGTCTGCTGTACACAAGAACTGTCAAGTGTCAGCAAGAGAGGACTGCCTTTCTGGGTCCCTAAGTGGTGCAGCCCCCTGGGTGGAGACATAGTTCAGAGACAGTGGCAGCAGCTCAGGGACGGTGGGGAGTGGCAGAGGGGTGTTGGATATAGGGGAGAATCCGAGTGCTTCCAACACGAGGGCCCTGAGAACTTCTCTCCTGAGCTCAAAGAAACAAGAAAACTAACAAAATAGCTACTTGCCTTTGCAGTTTTATACACCGTGGGAAATACTTTGGGAGTAAGAAAGACAACCCTCAAATGTGTTTTGACTTTTAAAGTGTTGAATTCCTTTCAGACATGTGGCATCTCATTTATTCTTTTTTTTTCCCCCCCAATGTTTGTTAGATTTCAGGCAGAATGTTTTACAAAATGTCCTAGAACCGGATTCTAATTTAATCTAAAACAGCTGAGGGAGGGACAGAGCGGTATGAGAGCAGGATAGCCACAGAGCAGATCAGGAAAACGGAGAGGGAGGGGTGCTTGGAATTTTTTTCTTTTCCTTTTTTTTTTTTTTTTTGAAGTAAGTCAGCATCTACATGTAGAGTGTCGCGGACAGCTGAGATCAGGGCAAAGTGTAGCGCCAGCGTCAGGCAAGAATGGGATAGTTAAGCCTGTCCAGGATCACAGCAGGCCCACTCTCACCCTTGGCCGCCCACCCAGAGGCCAGGATCCCTTAGGCTAACTGAGTCCGAAGGCAGTCAGACAGGGCAGAGGTGCCACCTAAGCCCTCTCCCTCTTGTATTTGAAGACCCTGCTTTCAGGAGGGGCCTACCGATGGCCACCATGTGGAGTTCTGAGTGCCAGGGGCCCTCACAGGAAGTCTTCTGACCTGGAGTATCTCAGTGGAATACTTGGTAGTCTCCGGGAGTCTGGCGGTTGTAATGTTTGCGTCCTGATAAGAACTTTCGGAGTCTACACTCAGCCTCTAAATAAGCTAGGGAGCCTTCCACTTTTTGATGGGAAATTTAGAAAGAAGAGTAACAATGTTGAAAACATGACCCGAACTCCGGGGTTCTGTTGTTCTCTTCAGGGCTCCAGAACCAGATACATTTTACCAAAGTTAGAAAAGAGCTTTATCACAAGCCTTCACCGTCCTGGCGTGAGTGAGGCCTGACCGCCAGGTTCAGAGTATCCCGTTAACTGTGAATGAATCTGAGGTCGATTTCCTTTATCCTTTATTGCATCCCCTGCAATGTAATGACTGCCGAAACATATTTTTTTAAATTTCAGAAGTTTGTCTCTCCTGTTAACGGGAAGAGCGTGCACACACGTGTAGTAATGGTGGACTGTGTGTGTGTGTGTGTGTGTGTGTGTGTGTGGTGGTGAGTTTTGCCCTGTGTGTGTTGCTCCCCCACCCTGAGGAGAAGACCTCTTGGCTCACTGGTCAGGACAGGTATGCCCAGTCTCAGGGTGTCATTTCAGGCGGCTTCTGAAATTGTTAAAGATGGTAGGGAGTCTATCTAATGAACCCCACTTAAAGAATAAGGAATATTTGAATCTCTTGGAAAGGCCGTCAAGAGGAAAGCAGTCAAACACCCAGGCCCATTTTTCATGCTGATTCCAAGGGCTGGTGAGGGGAAATTAAAAAGTTACCCTTTCTCTCTGAAAGCAGAAATAAAATCCTGACAGCTCCAAACTCTGATTTCTTCTTTCTCGGTGTATTTGGGGAACACTGTACGATTAGGTATAATGTATTCTTTTTTTAATTAAGAAAAGCAAAAAATTTTGTAGAAATACAATCACTGGCAAAGAGGTATGAAAAAGCCAGCCTCTCCTGGAGACCAGGGGCGGCAGGGCACAGCGAGGGGAGAGTGAAGTCCTTGTGAAATCATGTCTGTCAGACAAGATCTTAACGCAGATGCTCAAGTAACTGAAGAGTACAGTCGGCCCTCCGCACACACGGGCTCGGCATCCTCGGATTCAACCAACCACGGATCCGTAGGGCCGACTGTACTACACCATTTTATATAAGGGACTTGGGCATCCACAGATTTTGGTGTCTGTGGAGGTCCTGCAACCAAACCCCCACGGATATCAAGGGGTGACTGTGTATTATATTTGATCTAGATCTTTAGTGGGTAACATTTTATGCAGTTCGAATGAATGAAATATTTTCCTCTTGTTTAGTTTTATTTGTATGTATTTTTCTTTGTTGAATGATTGGTTCCGAGGCCTCTGCCACACTCCAGAAATATTTGTGCGGCTGCTTTAAAAAAAAAAAAAAAACAACTACATGTCTGGTCACTTATTTCTCTAAAATTATCTCATTGCCTGGCAATCAATCTTCTCTCAATACACTTGTCCTAGTACATTATGTACATGCAAAATGTAAACAGATGTGAAGGAGGACCAGAAAAATTAGTTAATATTAAAAAAATGTACATTTTGGCTTCACATGTTTAACTTTTTTTTTTAAGAAAAAAAGCTGCATGAATGGAAAAAAAATCTGTATACAGTATCTGTAAAACTGTCTTATCTGTTTCAATTTCTTGCTCATAACCCATGCAAACTAGAACTCATTGTGGTGCCTGGCCATATTCAAACACCTAAGAGTCACGCAGTTGATACTTCGGTTTGAAGCACCTCATCCTTTCTTTCAAAGCGAACACTATCATCTTGCATTCTTACTGAGGATTTTGTCTATCCATATGTTGCCATGAATTATCTCCACCACCTTTCCTCTCAAGAATCAAAACCAGTTTGATTTGGGAATCTTCTCCTTTCCAAATGAAATAGAGATGCAGTACTTAACTTTCCTTGGTGTTTGTAGATATTGCCTTGTGTATTCCATTTAAAACCGTAATCTAGTTTGTAAAAGAGATGGTGACGCATGTAAATAAAGCATCAATGACACTATCTTACTCCGAGAAGTTTTTTGTTCTCCTTCCCCCTTTCTTTAACCCGAGGAGTGAAATAGCTGAGTTTATCTCAAGGTCTTCCTGTGGAAGAGGCACAAAGCTGGAAGACTCTATCCTGAGATCTCTAAACTCAATGAATCCTGCAGACTTTTCCTCTGACCCACTTTTGACCCTCACAGGCACCCGTACAATTTAATAAAGCAGATTTATGGCATTGTTCATGGTGGCTGATAGCCTCTTTCGGCCTGCCCTGCGTCAGGTTGCCCCGGAGGAGCTTCTACATAGGGAGGCGGAATTTAAACTCTGTCTTCCTTGGGTGTCAGAGGTTTTGACCTGTCACAGTTTTGGCCCTAAGGAGGTCCTGCTCACGGGAGTCCAGCAGATGAATGTCGGTCATCACGGTGCCCTCCTTCACATCAAAGTCAAACATAACGCCTAAGGCTGCTGGTGGCAGTAGCATAAATATTTCCTCTTAGCTAAGTTAGGGGGAACTCCACCCTACTGTAAAACTATACTTAGTAGCCTGGGTTGTGGTTTTCCTATTAATAGACATTATAAAAATCATTCAGCTTTTGGGTTCAAAGTCCTAAGCAGCACGATGGACTCTTACTTCAGATCAGGTAGGTAAAAAAGATTTTAAAGTTTGCCCTTTGGGATAAATTCTACATTGGTGAAGGGTCATGCTTTCATAAGTCTGTCCTTATCATTGTTTTAATTTCCTGTACAGGTAAAACTTCATCTTCTAATACCAGAGCCAACTAGGAGAAGGTATTTCGTTTGCGATTGCTTTCAAGTTTTGATTCTGTCTCCCAAAAGGTTAAAGATGGAAATCCAAAACCAGCTTCACAAGATTCTCAGTAACTGAGAGTTTTCCCAAACCAGGTAAAAATTCAACTAAAATTAATTGAAGTTAATGAACAACAATTACTAAGTCAATTTCAAGTGTGGCAGTGGGCCAGAGGCTGTGATGGGCACCAGTAGAGCTAGACCCTGACCCCCATGAGTTTATACTCAAGATATCATCTATCTGCTCCACCTTGAGGAGTAAAGAGTTCATTGTTGCCGGCTCTCCCTGCTTCAGCTTCTTGTTTAAAAGAGGAAGAATCTGAACTGGTTAATCTTGCTAACACTTTAGGGAATTGATTTCGCAAATGTTTGAGTAGTGAGGGCAAACCTTTAATACAGCACACGTGACATGTATCAGCCTAGCCACGCACATCACAGCTGGAATACAGAGGTCAAAGGTGGAGGAAGGTAGAGTTCACAGCCACGGTCCATCTGGCAGACACTCCACCCCCATCCCCATGACCACTTCCCTGGGACATGGGGAAAAAGGGTGATGGCTGTGGTGCCCTCAGCTCAGCCCATGGTGGGCATGTGCAGGGGAGTGTGTTTGGAGGGTGGAGGTGAAGAGAGGAGCATCTAGAAGGGGACCCACCCTCCCTCTGCTCCATTGCCGTCAGGGAGAAGCTTTGGTTCTGGGCCCTGAGGACACCTTTGGAGCTGAAGGAAGAGGGGTCCTTCCCCTTGAATTTTCTTTATTCGAACATTAGAAGAGGAGGAGTCTCAGCAATATTTAAGACCTGAAGAAAATTAGATTGTGTGTGTGTGTGTCTGTAGTTCTGCCTAGTGTCCATCACATAGTAATGGCTCAAAACTTCGTTTTTGCCTTCTTTCTCAGAGGACTTACTAGACACACTACAAACATCCCCACTCCCACGCAGGGAAGAAAAGTCTCGATGCTCTTCTTGTCTTAGCACAGGCCCACCTCCGTGAGTCCTACATTCATCCATCCCACCAGCACCAGGATGTGCCAGGCACCAGGATGGCAGAGAAAACTGCTCCCATCTCAGGCTTCTCATAGCCGCTGGCCAGAGAGGCTGCCCCAAAGGCTGAGGGGTCAATAGCTCGGCACCCCTGTAACTTCCCAACCAAACTGAAAGCCCTGATCTAGAAGAAATCACAGAAAACTTGGTAATGGTTCAGTCCAGGGACGGATGCAAGGGACTTTGGCTTTCAACTCTTCTCCTTACATACTATTTTAACTTATCAAAATGGGAGAGTGTTACTAGTATAAAGATAAATATGGCTTCTGAAGAGCCATGGTGGAGAGGCTGGCTTTGACTCCGCTTCTGAGACTGGAAGGAATAAGGTGGGAGAAGGGGGTTAGGGAATAGAAGTGGAGATAGTGAGATAACTGTACTGTTTGAAAGGAATCTGACTGATAAATGAATGATATCATTGCAAAGTTGTGTCTTCATAACTTTGGGTTTCCATAATTTCCTCCTATTAACACCTTGAATATCAGTATAGGAGTCACCTAATCAGAACAAAGGAATTGTATGCACCTGTTAATTATAAAAACTATATGCTTATATTGGATGCACTCTTAGAAACGTAATTATCTATTGCTCTTGTAACTTTTATATTAATATAAGAAAAATAAAAAGCAGAATAGAAATAGTATATGCCAGTGTAAACTGTGGCTGAGGAGAGGTACTAAAAGGTAAAATGCTAAAATTGAAATCATTCTTGTGTCCTGGACACTTCTGGCCTCAAAACTGGCCTCAGCCCTTGGCTGAGGGGAGCCACAAGGGAAGGGGGACCAGCTGCTGGGTTCACAGGCTGTCCTCACAGCTTTGCTGACCCTCCTCTGCCATTTGTACCTTGTTCATTTACACTCTGGTGCTCAGAGCAGCTGTTGAGCAAGATGCTTGTACATCACAGGGGCTCAGAGAGTCTATAAATTGCAAACAATCCAGAGGCCCAAAGAATCTCTATCGTGTTTCCCACCCCCGCCAAGAGGGCTGGAAGCACCTGGAAACAGTGCAGTTGGTTCTTCTTAGATCCCCGAGGAAAGGGGAGGAAACATGGCAGAGCCTCCCGACTGGGGTGGGGTGCCCCTCCCCCATACCCAGATTCTCTGGAGATGGTAACACAAGGGCAGTTCTCACACCCACACCTTCCCCGTGGGTGGGCATTGCCTGGCTTCATTCTCTCCCTGGGTTCTTCCTGCACTGGACGAACCTTAGGCCTTTCTCTCGCCCATTCCCTGCCCTGCCATCCTCGCCTCCCCTGCTCTCCAACCTACTGAGACCTGCTGAGTAATAGGCACTGTGCCGGTCTGACACATACCATCTCTTCTTCCTGATTTCATTCTGAAAATTTAGAAACATATAGAAAAGTTGAAAAAATGATTACCCACATGCCTGTCACTTAGATTCAACAATTCCTAACATTTGCCATACTTGCTTTATATATTTCTATAGTAGGTGTATATGTGTGTGTGCGTGTGTGTGTGTATACATATATATGTTTTTGTTTTGCCAAATCTTTTGGAAGTTCAGCCATCACAGCTCGTCCCCTCGAAATACCTCAGCATGCATCTTTCAAACCCCATTAGGATCCCTGCAAAGTACAGTTATCAGCCCCACTTTACACCTGAAAAATTCGAATGTAAGAATTTGAGATTCAAAGAATGAAATTACTTGCCCAGAATCACACAGATGGTCAGTGGTGGAACAGGGACTTGACCTCAGGTTCACATCCTGTCTTCTATTTGAATGGTTCTAGAGCTCAGAATTATAGTCATCCCAGGAGGACATGCCTCTGACTTTGGATTTCTTTCTGTGAGAAAACTCAAAGCATTTCAGAGAAACAAAATTTCATCTTAACAGTATCCCCTTAAGGTCAAAGCTACCACTTCCCAAGAGGTAGATTCCAAGACACCAGGTTACAGGAAAAGATGTTCAAGGTACAGGCCCCAGAGGCCAAGCCTACTGCCACTGAATGCAGGTAACAGTGTTGGAACGCCCCTAGCACGTACCTCAGTGACCTGCCATCTCAGATCGCTATAAAGCAGGAGACTGGTGAATTGTCCCCATTTTACTGGTGGGACCTGCTCACAAAAGAATTGAATTCCCAAATAATGAAGAAAGGTCTAATAGTGGGCCTCCAAGTATGGGCTGTTAACCACCTGAACCAAAACAACCTGGGAAGCTTGTTTAGAATGCAAACTCCCAAGTTTACCCTGGATCCAGGGAATCGGATCATCGAGGGGTGGGGGTCCTGGACTCTTAACCCCTTCCCCAGGCCATCACTGCCAACTCAAGGTAGAGAACCAGTGGCCAGATTCCTAGACACTACCCTACCCCTCGCTGTACACTACGTGACATTGTGCTACACTCCACTCCACCGCTGGACTCCCTGTTAAATTGCTCTACTTTCTCAATGATCCTTTTGTAAAAAAATCTCGGAGTAGTTTATTTTTTAATCTTTAAGAATTTGTCTGAATTTACCTACAGTAAAACTCGCTCCTTTTTTGTACAGTTTTTTTTTTTTTTTTTTTTTTTTGCGGTACACGGGCCTCTCACCGTTGTGGCCTCTCCCGCCACGGAGCACAGGCTCCGGACGCGCAGGCCCAGCGGCCATGACCCATGGGCCCAACTGCTCCGCAGCATGCGGGATCCTCCCAGACCGGGGCACGAACCCGTATCCTCTGCGTCGGCAGGCGGACTCCCAACCACTGCGCCACCAGGGAAGCCCTTTTATACAGTTTTAACAAATGCTTTGAGTCCTGTAACCACCACTATAATCAAGATACAGAACAGTTCCACCACCTGGCAGGAACTCCTCTGTGCTACCAACCCCCTTCTAGTCAAACCCTTCCTGAACACTTACCCCTGGTGACCACTGATCTGGTCCCATCCCTGTAGTTCTGCCTCTCCCAGAATGTCACTTAACCATACAGTCATATAATACACACCCTTTGGAGTCTGGCCTCTTTCACTTAGCATAAAGCATTTGTGACAGGTAACAGTATTTCACTCCTTTTGTTGTTTTTATGAAGGTACCAGAGTCATTCAGGGTCAACTGAAGGACATTTGGGTGGTTTCTGGGTTTTGGCAATAAACCTAATGATGTTAATGATGTAAATTATTTTCCATGGAGGAGGAAAAGTCTGACATAGCGCCAGTGTGGTAAGAGGGGGTAGGTGGTGAATTAAAGACTGGTTTACACGTGGTTCCTGCCAGTGGGTCACCTTTTTAACAGGCTAGGTTCAGCCAGGGAGGACTTAAAGTTTGTCATCATAATAAACCTCTGGTCCTCCAAAATCATAAAAATAACAGGGTCTGACAGAGTGCCTCAGAGTCTGTTTCTCACAAATGAAATGAAAAAGCCTTGGAACATCAGGCCCCCAAATTCACTCTGAAACCATTGGGGTGAACCTCTCTTCTCTTAGAATGTGTTATGTCACGTGGGGAGGTGGGGAGGAGTCCTCGAGTGTCATAGTCCTTCTTCCCTACAGTTTATGATGCTTTTGCCCAACTGAATCTATTTGATCTTGCAACAAGCCCAAGAGGAAGAAAGGCAGGTATTTTTACTTGCATTATTATTATTTTTTTTTGCGGTACGCGGGCCTCTCACTGTTGTGGCCTCTCCCGTCGCGGAGCACAGGTTCCAGACGCGCAGGCTCAGCGGCCATGGTTCACGGGCCTAGCCGCTCCGCGGCATGTGGGATCTTCCCAGACCGGGGCACGAACCCGTGTCCCCTGCATCGGCAGGCGGACTCTCAACCACTGCGCCACCAGGGAAGCCCTACTTGGATTATTTTGAAGATAAGGTTGTGAGAGCTAAAGGAAGATGGTGTTTGTCCAAAGTCAACAAGGGCCCTTGGTTGGGGAGAAAACCCAGCTGTTCTGATTCTCAACCCGGTGTTTTCTGGTTTTAAAGTTTTACAACCTCTACAGATGGACAATGTAAGAGTGGTGATTATCTCTTTAATCCACACAGTGAAGAATCAACTCTTGCTCAGAGTAAGTGATAGGGTGGGTAGCAAGCAGCAAGAGAACAGAGCAAGTTTAAATCACGTCTCCTTGCTGGCCTTGATGTTCTTATCCATAAGATGGGTGAAACTTCCTACTGTGTTTGCAAAGATGAGAGGTCTCAGAGGGGCTAATAATGCAAGTGGGTAAGGCATACAAGGCACCCCACAAATGGTAGCAATGATTAATTATCTGGTTTATCAGGAGAAACCATAGATCATGCACACCATGGACTCCGTGCAGTGGGTACCCTCTGCTCTGAGCCCCGCACGGGATTTCTGAGGCCTCAGTTTTTTCTGGAAACGATGGAGGAAACCAAGGGGTTAAGGAGGAGGCCTGGAAGCTGGCACAGCTGGGGCCCATTAGCTCCTAATGAGGGCCCAGCCCGGGGAAGGAGGCCTCGCAGCGGTGAAAAGGGGCGCTGAGGGTGCCTCCGTGGAGGCAGCTTGGGCTGAAAATTGTTTTTCTTCATTCTGAACTCGGTTTTACACTCCAGAGGGGAGTTCTTCGTGTCTGAACTTGGGTTTTGAGCCCTGGCGCTGGTGGTTTTTGCAGTAAATGGCTTGCCGCTCCTTGTGGGGCAATATTGCTATTGATGTTGGGCCAAGGTGGTTAGGAAACGGGATCTTCCAAATGGGGACTTTGTGGTTTGGCCACACGGAGCTGCCTTCTCCACAAGCGCAGTTGGGGGTTGAGACAGTTACCCGCAGGGTGGGGTCTGAGGGTGAAGTGGTGTTTCTCCTCCGCCACTCCACTCTCTGCCCGCTTCTCTCGGCATTATTATTATTGTTGTTGCCCCAGCGTTGCCCATATTGTGGCCTCAGGCGCCACCAAGAGGAGGGGCTGCGTTAGGAACAAGCGGGCCCCAGAGGAGCCCCCTGAGAGCAGGAAAGTAGGAGACGGGGGCACCAGCGGGTCTCTGGAGGATGAAATGTGTCCTCTGACTGCCCATCTGTCTCCCGTGGCACAGGACTCCCTTCCTAGACCCTTGTGCTGCGGGGTTGGAGAAGTGGGGAGAGAGCAGCGGAGGGGCAGCGGCCTGGAGAAGGCCCAGGGACCCTCACCCTCTCCGGGAAGCCTTCCAGGACTGCTAGGCAGCCGTAGGCGCCTTTGCCGTGTCCCCCCTCAGCCCCCGTCCCCTCCTCGTCAGCTACATTGTAATTGTCACAGTGTGCTGTAATTACTCGTGTGACTGGCTGTGTCCCCACTGTACGGGCCACGTGCAGCTGTGGTAGCTGCTCTGAACACCCTCATGGAGTGACTCAATGCATTTGAAGAGAAGAAGGAACTCTGAAGACATCTCCAGGAGTGAGCTGAAGGGGCTTGTGTCCAGGGATTCGCCCGCTCGGCATTTTTGTCCTGCTGGAAAAGCTCTCACCAAGGAGTGGCAGGTAAGAGCCCTCACTCCTGCCCTTTGAGTCTGATTTCCTTTGAGTTGCGCCTTCCATTTTATTCCACCCATTCCACAGGAGCATTCCAAAGCTAAGCCAGGAGCAGCAGTACTGGCTTAGTTTTAGGCACATGTAACGTTTGTCTTCACGGCCACCATTGGCACAAGAGGCCTCGCCCCAGGTCTCCTGTCCCTCTGGGTCGTCCAGGTGTGCAGATGGCACCAAATAAGCTTGTTCCCTGAACTCATTTAGCTTGTCCTTGGTCATGGCTTCACGCCCTGCCTCTCTGATGCTGAGGTAAGAGTGCTGATGACCATACAAATCAAATTCAGTCCTGGCTGTTACAGAGGGGAGGTTGAAAAGGAACAAAAGCACTTAAGCCAGGAGCCTCCTATGCGTTGGGTAGTGGGGGAGGGGAGGAAATAATACAGAGCTTCCGTCCATGTCCGTGGTGTAATCAGGAGACAGACGACAAGGGTACAGTGTGAGAAGAGCTGGGACGGGATGAAGTACGGAGGAGTTGCCCAGATGGTGAAGCTGATGACCCTCTGGACATGCCCTAGTTCACACAGCCCGCCCCTCCTGTTCACCTTGACTGGTGTGGTTAGTTGTCCCCTGCCTGTCTCCCTCAGCAGGCTGGTCTCTCTCGAGACTTCCAGGCAGGCGTGGGCAGGTAGATGCTCAGGACCCAGTCTAACTGAGCCAGTAGTACATTCGGTTGACTCGCATAAGTTTTTATTTCCATGTGTTCACTTGTTGATGTTTTTCCTCATTGCCCAAGAGGACTGATTATGCATGAAACCGTGATGTGCACTCTACGATCTGCCTAGAGAATCACCTCAGCGTTGGCCAGAGCTCAGCATTCTTAGCCACACAGGGCTCAGAGATGCGTTCAGTGGGACCCAGAACTCCTGGATGTCCTGCAGGCCGGCAGCCAGCACAGTCTAGAGGCAGTGGCCAGGATGCCAAGTTGAGATGGAGGGTCCAGGATAGCCTGTCCCCCAGGCTCCAGTCTCCCTCTCCTGCTTCGCCCACTGGCTTCTGCACCCCTGCGCCTCCGTGCGCTCCCGGCTCCTGGTACCCCTGTGCTCGCCCTCCCACAAACCCCACAGTCCTGGCCCGGAGGTCGCTGCAGGGAAGGGGGGTGGGCAGTCTCACAGCTCAGGCCAGAGAGAGGAATCCTGGGCCCCAGCTATTTTCAGGGCTAAAATTGAAGCCCATGGTTTATTTGCTCAGCACTTAATTAGACTCCAGCGCGGCGCAAGGCTGCCTCGTTCCCGCCCACGAGCGAAGGCCTGACCAGTGGGTTTGGGAGCTGACGCCATGTCACAGGCGGGAGGTTGGGACCTGGAGTATTTTTACAAATGCGAGGCTGCGGAGAACAAAACCGCTTGGCCCCCAGCCAGTTAGCCTAAGTCGGTTGGGAGAGGGAGGGAGCAGGAAAGCGTTATATCATCCTTCCTTCTTTGAACCGCATCGTAAATCTGCCAGACAGGAAACGGGGATCTGGAGGGGAGGGGCGACGTGGGGGTAGCCAGCGAGGCCGGAGCGGGGCCACGTTACCAGCGCCCTGGGCGCCTGGCTCAGGAGGGGCCCCGCCCGCGGGGGAGCAGACGCACGCGGAGGAGGACGCTGGGGGAGGGGAGGGGCCGGCACGAGGGCGCCGCGGGGGCGTGGAAAGCTTCCTGGGTCAGGTCGGAGCGGGAGGGCTGTTTGTGCTCGAGGGTTTCTGGGCGCCCTTCAGGTCCTCCACCTAAACCTACTTTTGTAGAGGTTTAGAGCTGGAAGGGGTTTTAGAGACCCTTTAAGGCGGATGTTGAGGGCAACAGAGGAAAAATAAATTACCTGAAGCCACACAGCTAATGAGACCTGGAAGTGGTGCCAGGGGTCTTCTGACTCCTAAGTTGGCTGTCCACTAGCTCCCCTTCTTGGTGCTGTTCCTTGGCTTTTACGGAGACACAGCAGAGTGAAGGTAAGGCAGAATGTACAAATGCATTTGGGTGAAATGACACATTAATTCAGTTCACATTAAGAGGTAAATAATTGATGTTTAATACTTTACTGAGGAGAGATTTTGATGAGGAGGCCCCCGAGCTCCATGGTGGAGCACTTCTGACCATCACGGTGGGGAGGCATCGTCTTGCTGCTGACCAGGGTTCTTGGCCTTCCCAAATCAATAGAAATTGATAAGAGACCAGACAAGATATTCAGGCAAGGATTCCTCGGGGTTCCTGCTGCAGCAGGAGGGAGTGAAAACAGGTAACAGGTTCCCTTGCTAGCTCCCTGAGGGGGGACCAGCTGGTTCCTTATACGGGGGTTCCAGGGGTTGGACCAGAGGGGTGGCTTAGGTGACTTGCCTACCCGTTTGGTGGTGTTGTGTGCATGGGGCAGGCACAGTACCCTGCTTTTGCTCCCGGCTTTTCAAAGTGGCAGTTGGGTTCTTGGTCTTTTTGTATCATCTTGTCCATAATTTGCTCCAGCTGTTTTTAGTCCCATATAGTTTCTTTGTATTTTGTTGCTTGAGGAGACGTGTGTCCAGGTGCAAGTACTGCAGCAAAGGGTCCCAGATCCCAGGTCCCAGCCTGTCTCGATCTGTTCGTGATCAATTTAAGGCCATTCCAGCCTTTGTGTTTCTGGAGGGCATAGGTGGGAGGAAGCTGAGACCTGTGATGTCTCTGAAATAGAATCAGTTTCCTCCCAGGGAGGAATGATAACAGGAAATCTAGCTAATGACCACCCATATTCATAAATTTTGCAACATTTCTCTAAAAAGATCTAGATACCAGCCTTAGAAGTACAATTACTGTTGGATTAAATTTACGCTCACCCGTGAAATCACAGAAACGCCTATGTTTTCCACCTGTTCCTTCCCCTCCCACAGCACTCCTGAGGCTGCCTCTCAAATGAGGAATCCAACAGATGAGAATAGTATAAGCTCTTCCTACGCACTACAGGACCCTAAATTAAGTTAAATGATAGCCATAGCCAACATTTATTTATTTATGTTTTGGCCAAGTGCTTCACTAGCATTACCTCATGTCATCTTGCTAACTACTATTGTCATCATCCCCATTTCACGATGAGGATATTGAAGCTCAGAGAGGTTAAGTAATTTGCCCAAAGTAACCCAGGTAGGGCCAAGACTTGACCCAAGGCAGACTTATTCTGCACCCTATGTTTCAACTACCCCAGACTGCTTCCACTGGTAGAAACAAAATTTTTTGGCATATAGAGGGAGGTAAATAGAATTTTATCCAATAACAAGAATGAGGCCCACACTGTTTATTACCCAGGCTAGAGGATACCAAATGGTGAGGAGTATCAGGCCCTGGAGAGCGTCTGGCTGAGAGCAGAAGTTAGGCTGGGATTGCCATGTTCTACGCCCTATGCCTGGTGTTTGGTGTACATTTCTGCTTTTCTGGGCAAATAGCCTAAATAACTCCTTCACTTCTCTTTGGTGGAGTCTTGAGCCATCAGTACCATATCACCTCCACTCCATTATTGTCTCATATCTGTCACCCAGCTCATTTCCATGGCCTAAACCTGCAATTATTTGGTGTCTGCTGAATGCATATGAAGCTGATTCTTGATACCCAGTGGCAGTTGATTTAGACTCTTAGTTATTCCCACTTTTCCTTCTGTTACTTCTTTTCTGCTACTTACTTTAGAAATTTTATCACCTCCACCAGGAAGCACTCAAGTGGAAGGAAAGCATGCTCATTGTTAGTCTTTTGTTGTCAACTAACTCTTAGTTAGTAGTTACCACTAGAAAAAGACTAGTGGGGAAGAAGTCTGAGGCTTGTAGATTACACTTTTGCCTGTGCATTCCCTGTAATCTGATAGCCTAGTTAATGTCTAAACTTTTTCCTTAGTTGGGCCTTGGCTGTGTTTCTTGAATTATCTGTCATCTTTCACCCATGACCCACCCTTGGTCAAATTCTGTGATTGAGGAATATGGACAGCACTAGGTTTTCACTGTCTCTCATTTAATGAATTAATGCATGTAAGGTCCTAGGACATTTCCTCACCCAGAGTAAACCCTCGATAATTGTTGGTTATAATTATCATTGACATTATAACATATTGTTTGAAAAATAATACTCAACATCCAAGGCATCAATTATTTTTGTTATCCTAAGATTTTTACTATAGCAACTGAGATTGAGTTTTATTATTATTATTATTATTTTGAGATTGAGTTTTAAAGCAAAGGTTCCTCAAGGGCAGGAACCAAGGATGATAAAATAGAGCAGTACTAGTTATAAACTCCTTAGGGGGTGACTTCTGCTTCTAGACATGATGGACTAGCTTGTAGCAGACCATTCCTCCCTACGAGAACAATTAGAAAGACCTAGATTTTAAAAAAACTGTAAAATATCTATTTGGAAGCATTGGAGAGCTACAAAGACAGGGTCTAAGATGGTAGAGAAAAAGGAAACACAGAGAGGTGAGTGGCTCAACATACTGCTGCTTTCTCCACAAAGCATTTGCAGTTCTGAATGAGTACAGAGATGCTGAGCAGCTGAACAGGGTTGTTGGCAATTTCACAGGGCTAAGGAAACAAAGATTGGGATTTAAGTCTTTCCAAAAGGAGGGATTCTAGTAAACATCCCAGTCTTTTAGCTGGAAACCTTGAAGGCTATATATCCTGGTAGTAAAGCTAGCCTGAAAATAGACTAGCACTCACAGAGACTAAAACTCAGATCTGAATCAATTCAATCTCAGAATAGATTAAGGAGATATTCTCCTAGCTAACTGCCTGCCAGAAACCAAGTAAATCCTCTTTGGAGGAAGCTAACATCATCCAGAGCCTCAAATTTATCACTACAATTTTTCATGCACAGTATGTGCTTTAAAAAATACCAGGCATACAAGAAGATAGGACCAAATAACTGAAAACTAAGAGAAAAAATGATATAATTTAAACATATATGTTGAATTTCTTTTAAAAAGAATCAAATAAGAATTCTAGGACTGAAATTAAGAACTTGTGGAAGGGTTTAAAAGCAGATTACACACAACTGAAGAGATAATTCATGAACTTGAATATAAGCCAGAAGAAAATATGCAGACCTCTCTCTAATTACAAAATAAAAAGTTTATGAAATATAGACAAGAGCCTACGATATATATGGAACCCAGCGTAAACTTTGTATAATTAGAGTCCTGGAAGGAAAGGAGAGAGATAATGTAGCATAAATAAGATTTTAAGAGAAAATTATCTGAGAATTTAAAAACTGACAAAAAACATAACGCCACAGATTCAAAAGGTGCTACAAACCCCAAGCAGGCAAATACAAAGAAAGTCATAACTAGGCACGTTATAGTAACTGAAAACAACCAAAGAAAAAACTGTAAAAGCAGCCTATGTTAAAAAACAAACAAACAACAAGAAAGCTACGCTTTGCTTAGAGACACAATAAGAAGATAGCCAATTTTCAACAAAAACAATGGAAGCTAAAAAAATAATAAAATGACATTTTTAAAAGGCTAAAAAAACCCTTGCTAACCCAGAATTCTATAACCAGAGAAAGTACCATTCAAAAACGAAAGTGAAATAAAGACATTTTCAGCCAAACAAAAACTGAGATGGTTTCTAGCTAGCTGACAGATACCAAAGGAAAAATTAAGCAGAGTTTTTTAGGTAGAAGGAAAAGAATCCCAGAAGGAATCAAGAAAATGCAAAAAGGAATATTGCATTTTATATGTGTGTGTGTGTGTGTATATATATACCACATCTTCTTTATACATTTATCTGTTAGTGGACATTTAGGTTACTTCCATGTCTTGGCATTGTATATAGTGCTGCTATGAATATTGAGGTGCGAATTAGAGTTTTCTCTGGATATATGCCCAGGAGTGGGATTGCTGGGTCATATGGTAACTCTGTTTTTTTCAGTAGTTTTTTAAGAAACCTCCATATTGTTCTCCTAATGGCTGCACCAATTTACATTTCCACCAACAATGCAGGAGGGTTCCCTTTTCTCCACACCCTATTCAGCACTTATTATTTGTTGACTTTTGAATAATGGCCATTCTTACTGGTGTGAGGTGATACATCAATGTGGTTTTGATTTGCCTTTCTCTAAGTTAACGATGTTGAACATCTTTTCATGTGCCTGTTGGCCATCTGTATGTCTTCTTTGGAGAAATGTCTATTTAAGTCTTCTGTCCATTTTTTGGTTGGGTTATTTGGTTTTTGTTTTTTTTTATATTGAGCTGTATGAACTGTTTGTATATTTTGGAAATTAACCCCTTGTCAGTGCACTGTTTGCAAATATTTTCTCCCATTCCATAGGTTGTCTTTTTGTTTTGTTTATGGTCTCCTTTGCTGCACAAAAGCTTTTAAGTTTAATTAGGTACCATTTGTTTACTTTTGTTTTTGTTTCCATTACTCTAGGAGGTGGGTCCAAAAAAATATTGCAGCAATTTATGTCAAAGAGTGTCCTGCCTATGTTTTCCTCTAGGAGTTTTTTAGTATCCAATCTTACATTTAGGTCTTAATCGATTTTGAGTTTATTTTTGTATATGGTGTTAGAGAATGTTCTGATTTCATTCTTTTACATGTAGCTGTCCAGTTTTCCCAGCACCATTAAGTGATACACTTGTAAATAATCTGTGGATCAAAGAAAAAAAGAAAGTATTTTAACTAAATGATAATATAATATAACATGTATTATATATAATCAAAACATGTATATAATCAAAACATAAGGAATTCCATTGAAGCTGTGCTTGGGAGTTGGGGGCAGCAATTTATATCATGAAAAGATATGTTAAAAAAGAAGAAAGGCTGAAGATCAGTTATGTAGGAATCTATCCCAAGAAATTAGGGGGGAAAAACTCAGCAGATTAAACCCAAGAAGGTAGAAGAACATAATAAAGATAAAAGCCAAAAATTAATAAAATAGTAAACAAATGTATAGTGAGAGAGTCAACAAAGCCAAAGGTTTGTTCTATAATACAAAAAGA